AATCCCCACACAAGGACCTTTAGATCAATGCTCATGTCTATATGTGTGTGTAGGTATATAAAATATAATATATAGCCTCAGCTCCCCAAGGGGGGGTTCTGTCCATTTTGTACAGCATTTTGGGAAAAATAGCTGGTACCATAACCTTCGCCTGGCGTGTCTACTGCGTCGCATCACTTCAATTGAAAGCATACGATTCTCTTACCTGCAACGGATGCTTTTTGGGTGCAGCGTAACACGGAAGACCTCCCTAATTTTCATAAAAAGTCGGCTTGGGGCCTCAAAACCGGGCATGAAGGAAAGATCGAAGGCGGTGCATGTCAGGGGGTCGTCATCGCCCACATGGGCTACAAGACCTGGCATTTCGATTCGGGAGGCTTTTGCAAAGTGTGCCGTAACGAGATGCCAGGTAGCTCTTCCCAATTCGGGAACTCTGCTTCATTGATGGCAGTCTTTGTGCCGATACCTCAAAGCCAAATTGCATGATCAGACGATTGCCGGACACCAGGAGTAGCCGCGCCAAGAGGACTGCCCTCCCTTCCTATGCTTCGATCACACGCCGGGACCTGTAGCCAAGGATCTCGTGACTGTGGGAGAACTGAAAGCGCTCTTCGCTTGCAGCGACCCAACGAAAAGCAGCGCCGTTGCAGCAGCAGCAGCCCACCGCGAACCTCGGTACTGCAATTGACTTGAAAGTGCAGGGTTAAGACCGATCCAAATTCTATCCAAGAAGCGAAAATTGATGCATCCGGGCGTCGCTAAACCCACTCTCTCCTTCATGCGCACCCTGCATACCTGTGTAACTAACATGCTTCAGTTCCGCGGATAGCAAGCTTTCTCACGCGCTGGCTCCTCTGGCTCATCTGCCAAGTTCACCTCGCCATGGCCTTCCCCAGCCATGTCTCGAATCCTCATGGGGCAGTTGCAAAATGTTAGAAGGCTCGTACGTATTCTTCCAGACGGCATCAATCTCCAACTGTCCTACAATGATACTGTGAAGCATTAAGGTCTATCCGTCGAAAGACTGGGTAATGGCAAGAGTGATCCACTGTTGTTCTGATTGGTAAGATTGCTAAGGTGGGCTCCATCATATGTCCCAAGACCTGTACCACCGTGATCACGAGGCCCTTGCGAGACTCATCGGTTATCTGATGATTCACCCTTTCACGTTTGCATGCTGTTGCGAAGTAGAAGCCTTTCGGATCCGGGCCCCAGGAAGTGAGAGCCGTGCGCGGGCCTTCAAAGACGAATGAGACGCATGGAATGAGGTGCTGCATGCCAACCGTGTTCCCCATGTGCACGGAGGCGGGGAATGTGCCACAAGTCTTCTTACCGGGCTTTGCCGTACCCAGGGTCAAGCGGGTCGCGGCGAGCGGGACAATTTCGGACGATGTAGTTCGGCGCTGCCAGTGGGAAGACGACGCTGAACCAACAACAATTCGATCTATGCTCTGAGTGTGGTCTAAATAACCCGTATCTTGAGGCTGCCCCCGAACGCTGGCTGCAGCTGAGCGACGACACCCATTGCGCGGCTCGCTGCGAAGACGATCGCATGCTTGAGCACTGCAGCTGTGCATGAAAGGCATGATGGTGCCGTCCAGCGGCGCTTCTCGCTTAACATCAGCAAGCAGAAACGCCCGAAGCAAGAAAGGTGTACGTGCTCTATTGATCAACCACGGAGCTGCACAGGGTTAGCAGGACGACTAGATAATTTGTCATCGCCTGCATTCCTACGCAAATCCCTGAGCCCTGAACAGTGTGCTCCCATCGCAGCCAGCATCTTAAAGCTGCGCAAAAGGAGAAAGGGCCCATAGTATAGGGCATGCGAGATGCCCCGGGCATTCCGAAGGCCTTGTCATGCGCCAGCTTCTGCAGTCTCAACGCACCTGTCATAGCCAAAAGGGGGTTCCTTGAGCTAGCAAAGGTCATTTCCCAGTTCATGACATACGCCCTCGCCTAGAGCTCGCCTACATCCCTCACCTCAACTTTTACCTAAGACTTATAATATATCATAACCCAAACCAATGCAACCACCCAAACCCATAACCCTATCCATATCCTAGACTTGAGCTGGGAAAGGTCCCCCCAATAGAAAATCCCCAAAAGATTATAACCTGGAACTGGGAAATGACGCCTGTATAGAAGAATATATTAAAGAAACTGATTGTTAGTATATTCTGTTAAGCAGTCATCAATGTAAGTGTTTGAGATGGTCTGTATCATTTCTTATTGGTTTTCGTTTCTCTTACTCTACTGTGGATAAATAAGGATATCTGGCATCCATAAATCTTTCAAACGAATAATAATCTTCAATATGTGCTTCTGCTATTCGTTTCTTAATCCATTTATAGGTGTCTGGTGAATACAGCCTTTTTATTTTGCTAGATTTTCATTGTTGTCTATGTGTGTTAGAATTATATAAACTACACTTTCAACTTTATGCATTTGTCTTTCAAGATGATTAACGAATTCAGTTTTTGTATTATTCTTTTTATCTACATGTTTGTCGCATTCATGTATTATTCTGTTTCGTTGTTTCGTGTAAAATAATTGTATCTTTTCATCAAATTTAAATGAAGTATCATATAATGATTTAATACCTTTGTAGAATTCATTATTATAATATTTGTCTTCGTCGTTCAATATCTTTTTCAACACTCGTGATGTCATCTCAAAATGTAGGAAACGGATTTAATCTAACATAGTAATATACTTGCGTATTTCTTTTCTCTGGCACATAATCTTGTATATTGTATTTATGTTTACCTTCAACTGCTTCAATCATATGTTCAAGCTGGTTAATACTACAATCATAAACATTGCCCTTGAACTCCTTTAACGTTTTACATACCTTGCATTCTTCATAATTATATTTACAAGCATTTTTAACAATATTTCATGCATATTCAATTGTTGGGCTGTGTTATGGATAATTGTATTGGTTTTGGTGGGTTGCTTTGTTTCGGGATTATTGTATTTGTTTTGGGAGGTGCTTTGTGTATTGGTGTTTAGGGAGGTTGAAATGTTAGGCGGGTTGAGAAATGGTGTAAAAGCGTAGGGTGCGGTACAGGGTGCGGGCTAAGGATGAACTGGGAAATGACCTTACCTGGCTCCTTGCGGGTATCAAAACTCTGCGAGTGCGATGCTTCACACGAGCTCCGGCCGACATGCACGAAGGAAGAGAGATCCCCAAACAAATCTCTCGATTATTTCATATAGCAAGAATGGCAAAACAAACGATCATTCTAAGATTACAAATACTAGCAATGCTGATAATTAATATTCATAACATGAGTAACATTCCTATGAGTAGAACGAGTAAGAACCACAATGATATACTATAACATATATACATATATATGTATGTGTATACTATAATATACAATAATATATAATGATCTACTGTAGGCCTGAAGAAACTCTTGAGACCTGGCCCAGGTTGTGCTGCCGGGACCTTCGAAGCAGACGCGCGGGGTCCGCTGAGTGACACAGAAACCTTCTACTCATACGGCTGATGGACAAAATCCTGCATGACCTTATATACCTAAACTATGGGATTTATGGTACTATACTATATTTGGGTCATGCAGAATTTTATCCATCAACAGTAGTAGGACCTCTTTGAGGGCTTCAGTAGGGCTTTGGGTTTAGGTCTTAGGGGATACTCATAGTAGGACCTCTTTGAGGGATTTAGTAGGGCTTCGGATTTAGGGCTTAGGGGATTCTAAGTAGGACCTATTTTGAGGGCTTTAGAAGGGCTTAGGGTTTACAAGGCTTTGGGGATTCTACTCCTTGATGGGCTTCATAGATTTATTCTAGGCTTCGTAGGTCTGGGAGAGCAAACCTCGCGCTGGACAGCAGGAATGCCTTTGATGCATGGTCTGTCGGACACTTGCAGTATCACTTATTATCTCAACATTTAGTGACTCTGGCACTCTGGCATTCAACGACGAGGCAAACCCCGATGGGGACAAACTGGACCTGTCGACAAACCAGCCCCGTCCAAGCCCCAAGCAGACTTCTTGTCTGCAGCCCGTCGGACCGCCTCAAGCCGTGCTTCTCGGAGGAACACACTTCATGAAATCAACACCGTGATTCCCTCGGTCCTCACACGGGGAATCTGGCACAAAGAACGTACCAGGCTCTGCCACATGAAGCGGCACCTTGCTGGTCTTCTCCCCGGATGTCGCCATCTGAACAGGGCTTTCTTGCAGCGAAGTCTCAGGCTCCAGGGCCCAGGGCGCCCTGCCTTGCGCTTCTTGGAATCGCCGTCGCCAGCCTCTCAGTCTTTGGGCTGCGGGACTCTCAAAATGCGGGCTCAAGAGCCTCAAGAGCCCAAAGGGTCTAAGTACCCATATAGTAGGCATTTTGGGCCCCAAAGTACCTACCATATAAGTACTTAGACCCTTTGGGGAGCTTGAAAGGGGGAGTCGTTCTGCAGGATTCCCAGTGGACCCGGCTCAGGCTTCCTGGCGCAGGCGAGGCCCTGCCTTCCCTTTGACTTCGGGCGTCTTCTCTTGGAGCAACTCTGACTCCTTCCAGGCAGGACTCTCAAAGGAACTTGTTTCCAGCCTCTAAGTTCAAGTTCAATCATCTTCGGAACAGACCGCTACATAAAGAATATCTAAATATATATATATATATATATATATATATATGTATATATATATATATGTATATTATATATGTATATATATATATATATGTATATAAATCCTATCGCCAACAAGCCTTTGCCCCCCAGGCTGCCTCTCGGTCTGCCGGCCCCTCTTCTCCCTGTGCAGGCTGGCCCTGGCCTGCGCAGGCCCAAGAGAAACAGAAGCGAGCCGGCCCAGCGTCTTGGACTCCCCATCTCAAGCCTTCCGCCGCGAAGAGCGTGCTGCCTTCGCTTCTGGTGGCGGCCTGCATTCAGTGTGTGCGTAATCTGTGGTTGTTTATACGCTTTTTGATGCGTGTAGCTGTGCGCACATGTGTACAACAGGACACCTTGCACGACGACCCAGAGACTCCAATATCCCTGAATCAAGGAATATGCCTTAAATTATAGTAGGGTCCCAAATATGACTTAAGGTACATTCCTTAATTAAGGGATCTTGGAGTCTCTAGGAATCCTGCATGACAGCGGCATTGCAGAGGCTCACACACAGCAGAATCGAAGCAAACCCGGAAGTACCCACCACGATGTCTCTCGACGAAGCTGCCTGTGCTGCGCCAGTCGTCCGTGTGAAGGTCGAAGGATCAAAGGTGCCTGGACTATGGGAGATCCCCCGATGCCGCGCAAAAACTGTCACAAGTATGTTCCACAAGGCTAGGAGTTGCGAGAGTTGCATCCCAGCTTCACCGATGTGTGGTTTTTGCATAGGGTTCCGATCCACTGAGAGGCTGGAGCTGCTTAGTCGAAGCTGCAACCTAGCGAGAGAGTACCCTTCAGGAGCCCGGCCAGTCAGCGGCTGTAGGAACTGGAGCTCCTCATGGCACGATGAAGGCTTTCTCGGACATTTCCCGGCTTCCGAGCCACCATAATCAGCTGACCCTATGAACAAGCAGCTCGAGTCGTCCTTCGCACCAGCTATGGCGGATTTCAGATCCTGCGGAACGCGCACCGTGGACTGTGAATTAGCAGGGAGTGCAGATTGCACGACCGTATATCCGGATCGACGATGAGCAAAGCACAAGGGCCGACCGGAAAAAGGCGGACAAGCGCGGGACCCCTTTTGCTCACTCGCTACCAGTAGCTTCTCTTGCTTCCGAGTGCTGGGCGCTGGCCTGCAAGGGAGATCGATCTCGGAAACACTTGCAGACTTCAGAGACCCCGACAATGTCAACAACGAGCGAAGCGCAAGCACCCTTCTTGGGGATTTCATCCGGACAGCCTCCCTCAGCTGCCGGATGCGCTCTCGCCTGGAGCCGACTATGAGTTCATTGCGGAACAGTGCCGCACACGTGCATGGTGCAGACCTCAATTACGGCTTTAACTCTACACGAACAAGAAACTTCAAACGTATGGATGTGTGCGTGCATGTCTGCCTGTCCGTCTTGCCGTCTGTTCGTCTGTTCGCCTGTCTGTCTCTGTCCGTTTGTTTATCTGTCCGTCCGTCGGTCTGCCTGCGTGCAATGTATCGATGAGCACATGTACGTATGCATATGTACATGTAATTATGTATATACGTATGTGTATATAATACACGAATGCATAGATGTATATATCATATGACAGAATTACATGTAATATAGTGCAATAGAATATAACATAGCATTGCATTACACTACATTTTGCTATATGCTACTATATGTTATTACCATATCATGTTATATTCTATGACATTGCATGATGGTGTACATAAATATGTGTATGTATATTAAACATATGCACATTCTTATACTACATACACATTTATACATAGACCAATGTGCGTACTATATATAATACAACCACGCCTTGTGTGTTCGTGTCATTCACGTGTACATGCACACATACTCGATGATCACTTACACTGTTATCAGGTACCCACCAAGATAACCGATTGTCTGCCAACAGAAGACTGCATGTAACCCATGTTCATGCAAAGTTGGGCTACCTGGTCCCAATTGCCGCCTTAGAATAATACCGAAAAGCCGGCACTGCAAACGCATGCCTCACGACACTGTAACTGCAAATCCCGAAGACACCACCAACTGCATATTCCATGAGCTCTGCTTATTAGCTGTCCTGGTTCACATCTTCGCAAACACTCACCTCCAAGCCCTTGTTAGCTCCGCATCACCGTGCGGACTCCGAGACTTCTGTGCCCTCAACGGTCCATGCGAGACTTGCAAGACGCTAAATCGCTAAACCTGCACCCCGTCGCCCGAAGCCCGGCATTCGATATCCAACCCCAAGCCGTAAATTTCTGAACCCTGTTAGCCTAAAGACCCTAAACCCCTAACAGCCCTAACAACCTCAAAACCCTCAAACCGGCTCTATCTGGGCCCCGCACGTCTCCGCGAGGTCCGACAGAGCCTGACGGACCACCTCCGGGTCTGGCCCAATCTCCGGTGGCCCTCCTTTCGCAGGGAATGCTCACATAGCAGTTTAGGGTTTAGGGTTTAGGGTTTAGGTTTTAGGGTTTAGGTTCTATGGATAAACCTGCATATATCTATGTACCCACCAAAAACGAATCTAAAAATGTGGGGGTGTGGGGCGGGGGATCATGAATGTTTGCAAAAAAACAAAGATGTCTGTATTGCATATGCATGTGGCATGTATGTATGTAAATGTATATGTAAATTTATAAGTATATGTACACGTATATGTTTTGTCTATGTTATGTCCATGTCTATGTTCATGCCTACGTATATGCATATGTATATGTGTATGTATGTATGTATGTATGTAGGTATGTACGTATGTATGTATGTATGTATGTATGTATGTATGTATGTATGTATGTATGTATATTAGTTCTGTATGTGCATGTTCTTATACATACGTAT